CCAGAGAACTTCTTGCCCTAGTGTTGGACCCGTGAGGCCTTCCCTTCCTGTAGCGCTCACGGTGTCCAACATTTGCTGTCCACTGCTGGGAGTGCACAGCTTCATGCTGATAGAGTTGGCAGAGTAAAGTCTTTGTATATTTTGTATTGGTATTGGGATCAATACTGATTGTTTGGTGTTATTAACGTTAATTATCTAGTCTTAGTCGATTAAATCTGTTTATATTTCAACCCCCCAGGTTTCCTTGATGTTTCCTGATTCCCTTTCCCAGGTGGGGAGGGGTCATCAGCTGACAGAATGATTGTCTAAACAACAATAAATTGGTAGGGGTTTCTCAAACCATAACAATGAGGATTTTATCTGCCTAGGCAGTGGGAGGTTACAGATACTTAGAACCATGGTATAACCAATGTATGTGTGCAAAATACATACAGGCAGTCACTTGCTGGATGAAACAACATTTAGAAAATGCTTGCTAGTACCTCAATATTGCATTATTTTCAGACAAAAATTTGGAAGTAAATTTCTGGCATTAGCTTTTTTTAATAAGAATCAAGGTGATGTCCCCTGTAGTTTTATGACTTGGCATGCTGCTGAGCGGTCTTCTTGCTGAGCTACAAGGTATGTGGGAGCGTTAATATTCTCCTTTAGTCACCCTGTACGCTTATCCCTACTTGTGAGGGCAAAATATACAGTGACCTTGTCACCTCAAGGCAGATTTTAAGCAGGTGCTACTACTTCAATGTTCTAGGAATTCTTGAACCCAGTGTCTGCTTTTAAAATGTATGAGTGAAAACAGGTCAAGGAGGAGGCAGGGTACTGTGTGTTATTTGTGTTGAAGTAGGGGGGTTTCCTCTGCTTGATTTCTGCTAGTGTCTAAGGAGGCCAGTGAACTATGGAACCCCAAAGGGTACATACAGCTTTGAGTAGTGTTCCTCAGGGGTCGGTATTGGGACTGGAGCTGTTTAACATCTTTGTCAGCAACATAGACAGTGGGATTGAGTGCACCCTCAGCAAGTTTGCCAACAACACCAAGCTGCATGGTACAGTCGATACGCTGGAGGGAAGGGATGCCATCCAGAGGGACCTGGACAGGCTAGAGACATGGGCCTGTGCAAATCTCATGAAATTCAACAAGGCCAAGAGCAAGGTCCTGCATGTGGGTCAGGGCAATCCCAAGCACAAATACAGGCTGGGCAGAGAATGGATCGAGAGCAGCCCTGAGGAGAAGGACTTGGGGGTGTTGGTGGATGAGAAGCTCAACATGAGCTGGCAATGTGCACTCACAGCCCAGAAAGCCAATGGCATCCTGGGCTGCATCAAAAGAAGCGTGGCCAGCAGGTCGAGGGAGGTGATTCTGTCCCCCTACTCTACTCTTGTGAGACCCCACCTGGAGTTCTGTGTCCAGCTTTGAAGCACCTAACATAAGAAGGACCTAGACCTGTTGGAACAGGTCCACAGGAGGGCCACAAAAATGATCAGAGGGCTGGAGCACCTCTCCTATGAAGAGAAGCTGAGAGAGTTGGGGTTGTTCAGGCTGGAGAAGAGAAGGCGCTGGAGAGACCCTATAGCAGCCTTCTGGTACTTAAAGGGGGCCTACAGGAAATCTGGAGAGGGACTTTTTACAAGGGCACGTAGTGACAGGACCAGGTGTAATGGCTTTAAACTGAAAGAGGGAAGATTTAGATGAGGAAGAGAATCTTTACTGTGAGGGTGGTGAGGCACTGGAACAGGTTGCCCAGAGAAGTTGTAGAGGCCCCATCCCTGGAGGTGTTCAAGGCCAGGCTGGATGGGGCTTTGAGCAACCTGGTCTAGTGGAAGGGGTCCCTGTCTGTGGTAGGGGGGTTGGAACTAGGTGGTCTTTAATGTCCCTTCCAACCGAAACCATTTGATGATGCTCTGCAGGTGGGTTCTGGGGTTGTGGGAAGAAAATCAGATTGGTTATGTGAGCAATGCAGGAAGGTGTGGGTATAACCTTCTGCTTTTTTATAGTGGACTAAATAAAGTACAGCTAGGTATACTGTAGTGAATACGGTCTCTTGGGTGGAAAGAAACTGCGTTTAAGACTTGTGTGATTATGACTATCATGCATTAAAAATACCATAAATTAGTATGTGCCTAATACTTCAAACACATTTTTGGACAGGTCATGCTAAAGCTATTTCAGTAAGAATAATCTGGCTGAGTTTAAGTTAAAAAGTCTTCATTACTTTAAGAATATATGAATCGGGGTTAAATGTATAATTTTTTTTTTATTAGGGACATAATTGGGAAGTGTTTGAGCTTTTGGATACAGATACTTTGCTACAGAGGAACTAAACTAGCCAGTGTTTTCAGATGTTTTAGTGGGTATTTATTCTCAATACTATTAAAAACAGAATTAGAGTGAGGTATGACAGAGCCAAATATTCTTTCCAAAATTTCCTTCAAAGCTGGGGTTTCTGACAGTTCTCTTCTTCAAACACCCCTCCCTTGAGGCTGCCTAACTGAGAGCAAGCATTTCTTTTCACTTAGAGAATTTATCCTACTCTCCCTGCTGTTTAAAACAACCTGCCCAGGACTCTTAAAACAAGACTTCTCGCTTACACCTTTTGCTCCATGCTCCTTGTTCTTAGGGTCTTGCTGTTTAGTAGCTCTGATATCTCCCCCGTAATCCCAACTTTTTACCCACAGTATCATTAGCTGCTATAGCCTGCTGAGCCTGGCGCTTGATTGATCTTCCTGCTAAAGCTCCAGCTTCTGTTTCTATCGGCTATTTCAGAAACGCAGAATAAGTCTTTATTTATTAAAGAAAAGCATTGCCCCTGATTGGAGCCTGAAAGCACAAAAGATGTGTGCGCCAGGAAACAAGAATGCATGTACAGTATCAAGCGATGGGCAAAAAAACATTTGAAGCTTTTGAGACATGCGTGAACACATGCAGGCTCATTCAACCACTGAGTAACTGTGATGCTATTAAATTTTCTGGTTAAAAGGCTTGCATTGCTTCTGGAGGTAGTAAATCTTCCCTTGCTAGTCCCTGACAAACAAGAAGTCTGTCTTTCCAGGCTTTCATTTTCTGGAGTGTGTAAAGAGGTGCTAAAAGCTCCTCTCTACTTCAGAGGATATAGGGTATACCTATCCCTGTATATACTGCAATTCTGCTTTGGTAGTCCTCTGGGGGAAGGGTGGAGCAGCACCAAGCAGGGATGTTGTGTGGCTTGAGTGTCTTTCTGGAGCAGGCAGCATTACTTCTACCCTGAGATCAGTGGAAATTATGGTAGAGGCATAATGGGGATGAGTGATGGGGCTACACTTGTGATGTATCCCGGTGCTGCAGCACAGCGTACAAAGATTACTTTTGTGGCTGCTATAACAATGTCAGCATCTGATAACTGTGCAATAATGTCTTGAGTACGACCTAGTTACTGGTGTATTGCCCATTATTAGCATAATTCTGAAAGGCAGGAAACTGAATTTGTTCCTTCATCACTTCAGTTAGAAATGAATCATTAAGTACGTAATTGTGTTTAGATATAATTTGTAGATGAAGGTAGTATAAACAAAGACAAATGTTGCTACAGGAATTAAACTAGATGTAACACAACAGTGAGCTGGGCATTTAGAATTGATTTTAATGTGAAATTGGTTTCTTAGGTGAAACGTGAGCTTCCTATTTTCTGTTAGTTTGAGAAATTTTTTTTAGGTTTGTCATGCTACGTGGTCCTGGAGTTGAGAATTCAAAGAATGTTGGAATAATGCAAAATACTGATAATCTTTTCTCAAACCTATAATTGAAAGACTGATTTAGAAGCTTGTCAATCTGTTAAGTGGCCTTCACAGATGACGTACAACTTTCTCCAATAAGAGTAAAGATACTTTCTCTAATTTGTTGGAGATTCTACCCTGTAGTTTACCCATGAAAGGGCAAGAAAACTGCCTGTAATTCTTAGTTATTATTCTGAGATTCGAGTATACCTAAAGCGCCTGTTTATATTGAAAGTGTTTATCATTGCTTTCATGTAGGAAGTGAAGCAATTTTGGTAACATGCCATTTTTCCTCGTGACTGCTTCTTTTATAGAACTAATAATTATTTTTAATACTGAAAAAAGGAAGCTGTATCCTGTCTTGTGCAACGTTTTGCAACATGGAACTGGGAAAGTATTTCTTACTGTGCTGCAAGATGTGAATTAGCATACTTTTATCCAAAACCTAAGAAAGTTCAAATACTAAGTTTCTACACATAGCTGATATGTGCTTATTAAAACAAAGTATTTTGTTTGTTCCTGGTAAATAGTCCTTATTAATAAAAAAACCTTCTATGAGAAGATGAAAATAATTGGAAATAATTATTTGATGGTTTTTGTTTAATACATATGGATTGTAAGAGGAAATTTATATAGGTTTGCAGAGAACAAAAAAGATTACTATTCTAGGAGTTTCATGCTCAGAGATTGAGTCAAGGATTGCAGAAATTCTAAAACAATGTGTAAGGAATTGAATTTATTTGTTAAATTATTCTGAGTTCTTCCTTTGCAGGAGAAAGGTGAAGCTACTAGATTTTGCCTGGATAATTTTTAACAATACTAGTGTATTACATAGCCACTTCACCCAGTGTAAAACTGTTCCACAGTTTATAACACAAGGCTTGTCTCTGCCCATATTGCAAATTTGGGATATCATAACATGGCAAGACTAACTGCTATAAAGATCTATCAACTTCTTACTACTTTGGCTGAAAAGATAGGACCAATGCCCTGAAATTCATATATCCTGAATGCAAAAGAAGAGGACAAGGGGAAAAAAAAGTTTGACTTAATAGTGGTTTGACTTTATGAAAAGAGGACTCACTTGAGATGGTCTAATAGGCTTGGGTAGGCTATGGCAACAAAAGGGTAAGTATAAGTTGGAATTCCAATTTCCAATTGGAATTCATTATAGAATTCTTATAGACTGATTTTATTTTTTTTTTTTCCAGATTCCAATATAAACTCTCTTTTTTTTTTTTTTTCCCTATCAGTATCCCCTTATGTTTGGACTCATCCTTGCCTTCTGCTGGTGTTCTTTGGTTTGCTGTAGTCGAATTTATATGGGAATGCATTCAATTTTGGTAAGAAAATAATCCTACTAAACTTTTATTTTAATGTTCTTTTGATTTCGTAAACTTCATCACACTTACAATTACTGCGTTGTAAAAAATTATATAGATTTGTTTTTTACAATGTCCTACTGCATGGGAAGAGAAAACTTACATTTCTTCATCAGGAAAATTGATAGCTAAAAGTGGATGTGAAACTTCTGTTAATTTATACTTTTCTTTCATAAGTTCAATCCATGGTTGAAACTTAACTGATGTTTAGTAGTTTTAGTGCAGAAATTGACTGTGCTAAAGCATAGACTAAAGTTTCCTTTAAAGAGTAGAAATAATTTTGCAGGATGAGAGAGTGGCTGTTAATATCCACTTGTGTTCCAGCTACTCAAAGCATGTGCATTTCAGAATGCCCCGCTAAATGCCAGGGTTTCACTTACGCAAGACTCTAACAAACCAAATAACAACGTTGTCATCTTTAAAAAACAGACTTATTTATTAAAAAGGGTTAAGAAATTCAAAATGAAACACAAATGCATGCAATGGGAAAACAAGAACACTACAAAATAGTAATCAGAGTGTAAGACCACTAATAAAGATGGTGAAAGAGGTTTTTGAGGATCACTTGCTAGAAAGAGATTAGCTAACAGACAGAAAACAGTAAGTGAGGAGCAAAGCTGGTAGATGAACACAGTGTAAAAGGAGCATGTGAAAATAAGGCAGCTCAGAAAAACTGAATTAGTGATTAGTGTTCGTGATTAGGAGGCTTCCTGAGTCAGAACCACTTGTGTGGAGGACGATGGGATGAACTGGTGTTTCAGCTGACAGGTAATATCTTAGAACAAAGTCATGAAACAAATAGCAATGCCTCATGTAGACTAGGTTATTCAGCAGTTTCAGATCTGAATCCTTGATAGTGTTTGAGTGAATACACTTAATGATACGTTACCTGTAATATAAATCAACCATGGTGCCTAAGTTTGGGGGGGAGGGGAGAGTGGCAGATATGGCAGAAAGTTGTTGTGGCTGCTTCCGAAATGAGCAAGTCTGAATTTCATATCAGTCAATTGTGTTAGAGTTTTTACCAAGCATTCAATTAGTGGAAGTGAATGAAAATGACTCATTGAAGACAGAGCAGTACAAATATTGCCGTCGAAAGTCCCACTTCCTGGCTTATACGGAAAAGTTGATAAGCATGTGAATGAAGGTGATCTGGTTTCTAGTGTTTGGATATCTAAAAAGCTTTCAACAAATTCCTTACCAACTAAAGGTGATAAAAGTTGCAGATAATTCTGTGCAACCGAGTGATTAATCAAGAGTAACTGAAGTTTAATGCTAAATTAAAAAAATAATTACAGTAACCTTGTAATTAAGAAAAGAAATTTTTACAACAATAATAAAACTGAAAATCAAGTATGAAGCCACGGAAGTTTCCTCTTCCTCTCCTTTAATAGTTGGAAACCGTTCTCCATTCCTGCAGTATTGTTAATTCTGAAGCTGGAGTGGAAAGTCGAAGCTGCTGTAATGCTTCGCCGCCATGGGCCTTGACTGCCTTAGCAGCTGTTGCTGCTGGCGTGCCTGTGTGTTGGCACCCAGGCACTTAAACCCAGTGTTGGTGAGCTGTTAAAGCAAACTAAGGTGGCAGAACTTAATCAGCTGAGCTAGCTTTGTGCCGTCCGTAGGCTGGAATGCTCCAGTCCTGTACAAGGACCATTGTAGCCAGCAGATAGGTAGATCTACAACTTCGTTTGACCATGGATCATTTGATCGTAGCTTTATTAATGATCAATTATCATCTGATCATGATGCAGATGTCCTATTAATAGGTGATCAAATGCAATTCCTTACCTGATCTTTAACTTAAAAAAGATGTAGTCTTGTACAGTAAATGAGAAAAGTTGGGAATCCACAAGTTGCTTTTGGCAACAGAGCAACTAGGCTTGTCTCCACGCTAATGTAACTTAAATTATTTTTTTTAATAGTTATTACACTGAAACCATATCTTTCTCTCTCAACAGGATGTTATTGCTGGATTTCTGTATGCTATTCTCATCTTGATTGTCTTCCATCCAGTTGTGGACCTGATTGATAACTTCAACTTAACTTACAAATACGCACCCTTAATTATCATCAGTCTCCATTTAGCCCTGGGCATCTTCTCTTTTACTCTAGACACCTGGAGCACATCCCGTGGAGACACAGCTCAGATACTGGGCTGTGGTGCTGGAGTAGCCTGTGGCTCTCACATTAACTACATAATGGGTCTAAAGCTAGATCCTCCTCCCAATACATTACCTTTATCTCTTTCCTCTCTCACTGTGACTGTGTTTGGAAAAGCCATATTGCGGTTGTTGATTGGAGTAATAGTTCTGTTGTTAACAAAAGTAGCGATGAAAAAAGCCACTATTCCACTGGCATGTAAAATATTTCGCATACCACACGATGACATACGGAAAGCAAGACAACGCATGGAAGTTGAGCTTCCCTATCGCTATATTACTTATGGAATGGTTGGGTTCTCCCTCATGTTTATTGTTCCTTGCCTCTTCCATTTTATTGGGCTGTCTTGACTCAGTTTTATCACCTTAAATAGGGAGATCAGAGCTAGTTGCTTTTTGAAGAGGTGCACTAGTTTGCTAAGGGAAGGCCAGTGAGCTTGGCTTTAGCAGGGTCTTCACTTTAACAGCAATACATAGCAGGCAAAGCATTTAAAGAACTTTGCACGTCTTTGGGTATGGTATGGGGCCAGAAGTCAAATATCAGTTCACAAGAAGTGCTGAACTCTGTAAATGCTATGTCTAGACTTATTGCTGTAACAAAGTGTGTGTGTGTGTGTGATGCAATGAATGTCTCTGGAATGTCTGTCATACTGTACCTGTATACACTGACATTTTAACAGGTATGTCTGACAGCTAATCAGAAAGCTCCATTCATGATCTGTTTGCCATTTCATAGTAACTTATTCAAATCTTTGGACCATAGACTGCTAAATTTGTTTTCCTCTATTCTTTCCTGAAGTCCTGCTTCAAGTTGTTTCAGCTAATAGGCATTTCTAATGGACCAAACTTGTAATGAGGTTGAATTTTTCAGAGAAAAAAAAACCAACCACACAAAACCCAAACAGAAGGCTTTTTCTTTAGCTCCCTCTACAGAGTAAAATGTCTGGATTGGCATTGATAGGGATCCCTAGAGTATATATGATTCAGGTGCTGTATTTTATGGTTTAATAACTGTGCCTTTCTGTTGCTAAACTAAGAAATGCCATGTATACTGTGATGTAAAAATGCCTAATTTTATTTAAAATCCTACACAATTAGGCATATATTTTTTAAATGTTAGATTGTCCACATTGCTGGCATGGTTCAAGTTAACCGGAATATTCAGTTTAGCCTGAGCAAAATTGCATAAATGAAATGACCCAAGAATCGCATCCTTAAGCTCAAGACGTTGTAAATGGACAATAATCCCTTTTGTAAGTATTTTTAATGTGTATTGTAAGTTACTGGAAGAGGATATATTTTTCTGGAGATTGTTTATACAGTGGACAGATATTAAAAATAAGTTATCTAAACATACAAACAATAAAAACACCCCATTCTGCAAAGAAATGGGCCTCACATTATTCCAAACTGATTTCGAAGGACCATTGTTTTTACATATTTGCTTAGAAAATATAATCCTTATTCTAGAAAAAATATGTATTTTTATGCATTAACATACTGTATTTAAAGGTGATAATCACTTTTACCCAATTTAGATAGCTATAAGACAATATAATGATCAAACTAAATTTTTAATCATTCTGATAGGCAGATTGTTAGCAGTCAGGACAGTATGGTCAATGCATAAACGGTTTGTGCGTATCTAAATTTTACTGAATTATTATGCACTTTTCAGCTTCTCGTGATCCTTTTTCCAGTGATGAGTAGAATATGACCCTTCAACTGTAACTTCATGTGCCTATTGTGTTTCATTTTGTCTATGTTAACGTGTTGCGTTCTTTCCATGTCAGGAACTGCCATGTTGCAGCAAGGACAGTCTTGCTATCTGGCCAGACATGAATTACTTAGTTTTATGTTGGTTTTTTTTAAAGGAAAAATGTAATTTGGTTGGGTAGTGATTAGATAGAATACAAAGCTTACATATTTTGTAAACAATACTTGGAATTGGAAGAGTGTTTTTTGTATTGAAGCTCATATCTCCAAATTGTTAATATCGAAATTAACAAAATTAACTTTGTCTCTCTCCTCAAAGTTACGGTACACTGGCATTTGATGATGGGAAAAGCTAACTTCTCTGATGTGTCTCTGCAGTGCATTCAGAATACGCTGCTATGAATGTACTCAAACTGATGGACTCAGAACTGACAGTGTGTTAAACAACTTCTGTAGCTGAAAAGACCTTACCTGGTAGAAGATGGTTAGCTTGTTTCAGTGCATATTTCTGGATTTGATTTTTTTTTTTTCTGTCTGTTGCTCTTTTGCAGTTTAATGCTGAATGTTCAGTAAAAGGTGAATTGGTTTCCAAGGTTTTGAGGGAGGGATTTCCACTGGTTTGGCTTTGCACACTAAGATAGTAATTTAATAAATAGCTGAGGGGAATGTACACAAAATGCCTTATGCTTAAAGCCCCGAGCAAGTGGTATAGTTCTAATTATATTAAATTAGTCTGAGGACTGGATAAAATAATAGGATAACTTTCTCTGAAGTTTAGGGCATGTTCTCCTTAAATATCCTGGCTTTATAGTTTATAGCGAAAAAGTTTAAATTCTAGCACAGAAGAGACAAGTGAGCAAAACTAATTTTTTTTTAAGGTACGTATTTGACTTTTAGGGACTTCAAGTTTACAGCATAAGAGTGTTCTTAAAGCTGTCTTTTCTAGCTGTGCTTGCTCTGTTGTACTATTAATGGACAATAAAATCTACCGTGGAAGATCTAGAAAGGGTGAAAAAATCATATGCAGGTAGGGCTTTCACCAGTCTAAGGAAAATTGCGCTGTAGCTTATTCTACTGTTACTCATAAATATGTATTTTATATTTTTATACATTACATTGGGTAACTTCAAAATGTCATGTTCCATGTACCACATAGTCTTGTACACAGGAAATGTATATCAGAATGTTTATACAGCACCTTTACAACCCTGTCTCTAAGACTGCAACTGCTTTACTGAAGTTTACATGAAAAAAGTTTTACTATTCTATTTTCATGTTTTATAAGGGGCTAGGCTCAAGAGGGACGTTTAGCACAAAATATCATGCAATATGAATACAGTTATAGAATAAAGAATCATAGAAATGCAAAAATTTAAAAATCCAACTTAAATATTTGTATTTTAGTATATTTTTTTTTAATAATAAGCTAAGATTCTTTCAATTCAGGCGTAACAAAACAGCAGGCAAAACTGGAGCACTTTCTTTGCCCTAAGCTATTCCTCGAGTTGAACATGAAAAATGTTTCTAGTATAAGCATCAGCTGGTACCAAATTATTTATAAATTTAACATAGCTTTAAAAGATAGTTAAATGTCTTTTCAGAAGGACAATACACTTGAAACCTTTCATGAAGTGGTGCAAAAAGATATTCTTATGTCACTGCTAGTAACTTCCTCTGTTCCAGGTTGTATAGTCCTAAAGAGATAAATACTGTATAGAAGCAGATATAAATACACATTTATTACAAAACGCTACCAGTTAAATTTGTCTTATTTGATCACTATATGAAATAAAACCTGAAGCTAACAGTCACGTAGACTGTAATTTGGCACAAAATTCTTTTTTCCAAGAGGCTGAAGAGACTCGAATTAGTCTTAGATTGCCTTAACCATCGGAGCAGGATTTTTTCTGACTTGGCCCTCAATCAGAACTAACATACGCATTGCATCTTGGGTGAGTTTTAGAATCTATTATTTTGAAAACAGTTTCATGTTTATAAATAAAGCTGTTACTTTTGCTTCCCATACTACAAACTGGGGTTGAAGCATCGTTCTCCTCTGGGATCACCTATGAAGCTCTTCAGCCTCTGATCACATTTGCCTTACTGCTTACCTTGCAAATTGGGGGGGGAACAGAAATGGGGAGGTGGAGAAGATAATTTAAGGTAAATTGGCAAACCAAAGGGAGTTGTATTTTGTTTATTTACATTGAAATTTTTAAGCTTATGTACAGCTTTTCTCCTGAAATTAAAAAAAAAAAAAACACAGGAGGATGCATTTCTTGTAAAATGGCATCTCTAAATGTAGTATGTGGCTTTTTTTGCTGGTTTGTGTTGGTTTTTTTGTTTGTGGTTTTGTTTTCTTTTTTTACCAGAGCAGTGTTAAATTGTCTGGATTTTAAAAGCTATTATGCTTTCTTTCGTACTATTTTTTATTGCTGCATTCAGTATTTTTTACTCCATTTCTTGCTTATTTCCCAGGGAGTGTCCTGAACAATTTGTAAGCAATTGCTACTTATGTGAAGATTGTAACTTTGAACTTGTAAATACTTAAGGGCTGTTAGTGGCTATTAGCTGCTCAAATACATAAAAACAAACCTTGCATGCTGTAAGTAAATACATCTGTTGTGCTAAAAGTTGTTTCTGTTTGAGTATCTGCTTTCTCAATACAAAATTGAGATTTTTCACACACAATGCATAAGATATTTAATAATTCAATGGTATGAAAGGGCATTGCTCTCTAACTCCGGTTAACTTTACTTGCAGTTCTGTACCTAGTTTATTGAGAATGAACCCTGAAGGTCATGTCCGTGCTCTGATGTGAATACAGGCATCATTGTGTGTGAAGGGACTTACCTTCTAAGGTGCAAATGTAATATCCTTGCTTTTGAGGTCTGAGAGATTGTTCTTTTTAAAATTATACGTAGCCCAGTTTTTACAAGACTTTTAAAGGGCCTAACTTGGAAGCCGCTTCTCAGGAGCTGTACCTGGCTGTGCATTTGCAACACTTAATTGATGCTTTCCTCCTCTGTACCATAATTGTGCTGGACGACAAGATCCCAGAATAATATCAGTAGATAAAATGATGACGGGAGAATTGATTTTTGGGGTATTGTGACTCAACTTACTGTAACTGATTCTTGGGTGGTTTTTTGGTCTAATGTAGGATGTTTCTAGGTTATACAATTTACAGCTATGTTCTACAAACAACTTTGAGGAAACCTTGACTTTTTTGGGGAGAAAGTCTCATTGAATGTCTTCATGCCAGGATTTTATTCTAGTGGAAAGCTTGTGGCCTTTTTGTTTCAGCAGAAATATATAAGCCTATTTTAAAATTTACTGTAAATACTATATTTATCAAATTGATAGAATAGTTGGGTCACTAATGTTGTTTTTCTTCCTACAATACTACTTGAAACAAAGGCAAACAAATCTTAATTTGGAAACAAGATGTGATATTGTGTGGCAGAGAGGATATAGCTCTTTAGGTGTTCTCTAAAAAGCAAATATCGCATGCTGGAGTTGAGGCAAATTTAACTATGCATTAGAAACATTTCTTTGCACTCCATTCTGCACCAGAAATAACTGTATGTTGGTAAGAGTCTGTTTAACAAAACAAAGCAAAGCAATATGTGCTT